TTACTAAAATACTTTGCTTCCAGTCTTTTGAAAACAAAATTGTCAAAAATGACACATTCCCACTGAAAGTTTTGATGTCAACAAAATGACTTTTTCTCACAGAAAAACCTTCCATTGGAAAATATTTGACCAGTTCTACTGCGCACCTACTGAAGTCAAAACGCACACATATGAAAATGTTACCTATCTCACTAACTCCCAGAAACTGCTCCACCCACACAGGAAAAGGAAAGATGAGCTCAGGATGAGATCTATCTCTTGCCTCCGTCCATCCCTCAAGTATCCTGTTTCAGGACTTGCAGTTCTGAATCCTCAAAACAATCCACATATCAGTTCCTGCAGTTTGATCAGCTGGGATCTGTAGGTTTTTTTCAGTGAGTATATTCATTATGCTTCTGTACAGTGTTCCAGGAGAGACTCCGTTTTCTGGTAAATATGTGATTTTAATCTGCCTCAACTAAAGTTTTACTTGACATGTGCCTGGTACTTTTTGTAATCGCAAAAACAATCTTTGTATCGTGAAGTCTGTTCCATTCAAAGGCTTTTTTAACGATAGCTTCTAAGGCTTTATGGTCAGTTTCTATTTCATTGTTTATGGTGACAACATGCTGATGAAAACCATTCACATCCTACATCTCTTTTTATTGCTAGATTCATGCAAGATTTAAAATCCTGTTTATCTGCCCCTGAATTAGCCCATTTTGATTTAGAGGCACAGTGGGTCAGATCCTAGGGTCCAGCTGAACTTCATATAATGCAAGTCAGAAGGAGTGTATGGGAAGTGCAAAGGTGGCATTATGCTCCTCTGATCCTAAGTCTACTTTGGGTGAGGTCTGTCCACCAGTTAGAGCAGTTCAGGCTGCTCTGATTTATGTTGGCTGCAAATGATCCCAAGGGCCAAAACAGCAGCCACGAATCAGTGCACTTTTGGGGTGTCCCAGCCATGTCCCTTTCCCCTGCTAAGCCAGCAGCTGTGTGTGTACAAGCCTCTATGATGAAGGATCCCCATTGAATTGGGGTGAACCTACTGGGTTCCATTAGAGTTTAAGCAGCAATGCCCTCTTGAATACCACACCTTAGAATCTGGCCCGAGAATCCATAACCAATACTATGGGTGGGCAAGATTTTTGCCATTCAAAACCAAAGTATAATGATGATTTATGTTTATTTTCCCCCAAACCAAGACTTCACAAGCTAATCTCCAGTGAAGTCTTGGTTTGCAATTAAGAAAAACAACACTAATATTCACCCTCTTTCACATATCTGTGCACTTAACATTTGTCAGAAATTAAATGAAGATGAAAAATCATTCTAACAGGCTGACTATCCTCCGGTTTTATACTGCTGCCCATCATCGTAGTATCTGAGCGTCTTCCATGGAAAATCAATAGCCATAGCAAAATCCCTAGTGAACTACATGCTGAGTCTCTGGCACTAAAGAGGCTGAAGATGAAAAAGACAACTGATTAGTGCCTCCCTTTGGAAGCATCTGGTGACAAGAATCTTACAGAAACTCTGCTGGCACAGACTGTAAAACTGCTTCTACCTGGTGGAAACCCCAAGGACAGGTGATATCAACTGCTCCTGCCCCCTCCCTTCATAAAGAAATCCCCCCCCCCTCCCCGTAGTTCAAGGAGCCAGGCTAACTGAGAGACACATAAATTACACCTTCTTCAGAGTCTTTGAATCCAGCTCTTTGTGGTAAATTTTAGCTAGTTGCAACTGAAACAGCTGAAAGTTATAAACTCCTGGAAAATGGGATTAATAATGGAAAAGCTTCAGGCAGACACCCAGTATTGCTGCAAGGTGCCAGCATAACAACGGAATGGACCTTCCATATCTAATTTTACCAGTCTGTGTCACAGAAACAGTATTATGACTGCAATAAACACTAAATGACCTCTATAAATGTTTCATATGTCATATAACTGGTGTCAATAAGAAGTTGCAGTCAGCTAATAAAACATGCCAACTCTCCAATCTGCTGCCTTACTGACCTTGAGATTTCCCTATAAAAGGTATTAAAAAGAAAAAAAAAATGTGTGACATGGCCCCTATAGTTTAGGCATCTGGATGATGTGATTTGTGTGCCATCTATAATGGGCCTAGATTAAAAAAAATCTTATGAAATTATAAACTATTTTGGTGGGAGGTGCTGGCACCCACTGAATTTAAAGATGAATTCCAGTTTCATTCTCATTTTTCAGTTGTTTATCACTTTCTTTTTTAAACACAGTTCCTATTGGGATAAAATGGTCCATGCTGATGCTCAACCCAAGAGTGAAATTATGTTTTTTGAGTGAAATGGAATAAGCCATTGAGTTCTTCAAGCATTAAAAAAAGCACTTTTCCTAATATAATATGATTGAGTATTTTGTGCTACCTCCAACAAGCTAGAAACTTCAAACTTGGCTTGTTTTGTCCACATACATCTCATAGAGATATAAATCAGTTGTAACACAGCTAAAGTCACTGTGGCTACACAGGTGTACCTGAGAAGAATCTAGCCTTCAGACTCTACCCAGAAGTAATAAGTGGCCTCTTAGGGAGGACTTTGGAGGATTCCACTCCACATCTTTAGGGAGTCCCTTCTCTGATGTCCTAATGTGGGGTAGGTCCTCTCTCAGATGAGCAGTTAGAGGGGCTTTCGCCTGAAAGCTTGCAAGGCCAAATGTGCAAAAATATTTAGGCACCTAGTGGGATGTACAAAAGTGCCTAAGCAAGTTAGACACCTCACTTTCTTGAAAGGTGCCTAACCTAATCTGGCCCTCAGAACCTCTCTGGTTGACAGATTCATTCTGGAGATCAGGAGGTATGGGGAGAACTCATAGAACCACTGCTGCTCTGATAGTGATGAGCAGGCCACCTTTCTTTCTGACTAGTAAAGTATCAGCCAAAAGGGAGCAGAAGAAAAATCATGTAGATTCCAACAGCTGGTGAATGAAGAAGAAGGTCCCCCAATGTGGCAGAATCAATGGTCTTTAAAAACTTGCACACCCAGAAACACCTTCAGATATTTTCCTACTTGATTCAGCATTTAGAGAAAAGAATATGAGAAGCTTGCTCTGTTGACAAGCTCCTCTAACAATCTCTGTTTCTTTTTGTTGGTTCCCTTTATGTTGGGTCCATGAAATCTCTTACAAACACACAATAAAACTTCATGGAAGAAGATGGCCAGATTGGAAATGAAGATCCTGATCTGCAAATACTCAGCGAGATGACTCACATAAGTGTGGGAGACGACTTAAACATTGCTCCTTTAAATTCCACAAACCCCACCCACATAAGTGGCAGTACGTGCTCTGAACACAGAGGCAGAATTTGATAGCTACAGATAAATAAAACCTCAGCCTCTCCAGAGAATTGTTCTTTGTAGTCAAACATTTTGTGGATTCTACAGAGGTCCATGTTAATGGCACTAAACAGGTGTTTACAGTATATTTCTGAGCCACAGAAGAGGAGCAAGGTATTAACAGTTTATGGTAAACTGCTTCATGGAGATTGCTAATGGAGTGAACAAAGACAGATACAACCAACATAATTTTCACCACATGTAAGGCTTTGTCTACACCTCAGATGAGTTGAAAAACATTCCACCCCATTTTAGATACTGCCAGCAGTGTCTTGTGTACACTGGCACTCAAGCAATTTTAAAACAGATTCAAGTGAACCAACTGGCAGTTTTTTTGTGTAAATGTAATTAAGGTCAATGACAGAAAAAAGCAGTCAAAGTAATCTTGCATCTGGTTAGAATGCACACAGAGAGAGGTAGAGTATGTGTGTGTAATATTTGCTTGTGATTTCCAAAGGCGTTACTATTTCTTTTTAGAAAATAGTCAGTATTGCCAGATCACTCTTTGCTGAGTTAGGCCCAATCCTGCAAGCACTTAAATATATGCTTAACTTTACGTACATGCATGTCTTCGGGACTATAAACTGTAAGTTCATGATAACTTTGCTGTTTATAGGTAATTTTCATGGGAGTTACTATACACACACGTGTACACACACATACTGAGACTAGATCACTATGGCTTTATATAACAGTATGAGTTTTGTTTTTAAAGAGCCTGTATTTTAAGGAAAAAAGAATGTACATTAAAAACTGCTTTAAATGTTTAATAGATTGATCTATTTGGAATAAATTGAAATGGTGCTCTATAAAAAAGGGTTACAGCAATTAGGGTTTTGATCAACTTTCTATTTATGGAATTTGGCTGTAAGGCTAGCTACAGTAAAAATCTTTTAAAATCTGAGCGACAAAAGCACAGACTTAACACTGCCTGTGGCTTTAGCTGCTTGGAGTTTGAAATATGACAACAAAGGAAGGTTAAAGTAATCAGTGACGTTATAAATACCACTTAAGCTAAGTGTCACATATGGTATATTAGCAATAGATGGATTTAATGAAAACTGAGACTGGGTTCTACATCTGTCATCAAACAAATGTACGAATTATTTTATCTGAAAATGAAATGTAATAATTCAAGTGATAATCTATAATAGAGTTATAACAACTCCAAATGGTAAAACTAGTGCCAGTATAATACCTTTTGGCAGCTAACATTAACAGAACAGACAATTCCTGTGACTATTGTCTTGAGAGAACAGACTGTGTGATATGTCATAATCAAGCACACATCCTTAGATCAGCAGCTCAAAAGAACAGCATACTTCTACAAGTCATCCTCTAATGCAAAACCAAGTGTGATTTGTCGCACATCCCAGCCACCATTACAGCCAAGATGGTCGTATGGAATTTTTCAAGCTTCACAGGACAAATATTAGAATGGATAATATCAGTGTGTATTTTAAAGAATAATTCCTAGCTCTTGCCAAGTCATGCTCTCTGTGGTATCTGCCAGAGTGGGAGGGAGGCATGCTCTCAAGGGGCCTGTGTTTCATGGTCATCTCAGGCAGGGGGCTGCAAAGTTCATTAAATGAGACTGATCTTATCTCTCTACTAGTTCTGTTCAAAATAGCCTTGATACGATGAAGGATTTATGTTACCCCCACTTCAAATAAAAAGTACCGAGGGATGGATTTCATTGCTGCCCTGTGGCACTGTAGAAGCCAGGGCTGCAGTTGCATTATTCATCACTGGTTTGTGTCACACAGAGGATTTATTGCAGGAAGAATCTATCTCCAAGGTAAGTAAGGATTTGTTTTTCATAATACATTTCATCATCTTAATGTCGCAAGAGGTGAGTACCTTCTCTAACTTTAATTCTTATACAAGTATATTCAAATAAAGGTCAAGGTGTGAGGCAAGCCAGGGAATGGTGCCCAGTTTAACAGCATTCTGGAAAAGATCAGAAGTATTGACACAGAAAAAATATTTTAGGATGAGGTCCCTTGGCACAGCAATGGACAAAACACCAATGGGTGTCTCTATATTATAGATTGGTGTGCCAAATGGCAGCTGGGGTTACACACACTCTTTCTGCAAAGACTTTCAATCATTATCCATTAGATGGATGATTTAAAAAAAAAAAATAGACTCCCAAATCTGAGAGTGGACCTCTCTCCTGTCTGGTATGCTGTGTCAAAATTCTCTCATCTGATTAAGAACATGAGCTGCAGACAGGATCTGTCGTCTTCCTTGATCCCACAGCATCAAGCCTTCCCACTCAACAATCATCATTTAGGATCTTAACGTAAGTTTTCACAGACAATAATTTATGCTATTTACCAAGAGCCCTGAATTCAGCAATTCACAGGATCAGGTTTCAAATGGGACGGGTGGGGAAAAACTCATGTACTACAGACAATACTCGATCAAGAAAACAAACTACAACTGCTTTAAATGTGGAATATTAAAAGAAAGTCAATAGTAGATGGACAGAGTGACGGATAGCTCAGAAAGGATAGTCATTTGAACATGGTCTGATGTGCTACTCTTGTGTAAGTGCTCACGCACATAAGTAGTCTCACTAAAGTCAATGGGTCTACACCCGAAAGTGCTCACCTCAGTAAGGGTCCCACATGCAGGCCCTACATGTTTTTGACCTTTGGGAGGGGAGGACAGAGAAAAGTGAGGCCAACTATAACTGAAAAAAAACCCTCCAGTACATGACATTATAAAAGCATTGATGCTGCTGTCTTAGACTGAGTAGTCTCCACTCTCCAGGGATTAACCATAATAGCAGCATTACAGATATCATTGTACATGAGTCAGCTGCCAGTAGCCTTGCATTATTCCAGGTTTCTTTCGCACAGTGCTATTATGTGAGAAAATGTCTCAGGAAAACTAGTCCGTGTTGTGTTTTAGGGCAGTCTGCCAAGAATCATCATGTTCCGATTCTGGCAAATAGGTCAGAGTGATCAATATTTCACAGAAAACAATAGTGTAACAGTGGTGCTGTTAATAGGAAGGACTGACAAACTTTAGAGAGTTGTGTGATACTGGTATGCAAATATTTCCTTCTAACATGAATGTTTCAGTGTCTATTCTCTTGATGTATGTAGGTAGCTCCCATTAAAATTAGTCAGAGTCCTACTCAAACATGGTTCTGATCTTGAAGTTCTTGTGCACACAAAACTCTCCTTGACTCCCTTGGGATTTACACTGGCCACAGATAGGAAAGAGAACATATACTTCAAATATTACCATGCCCAAGTCACCTTGTTTCTCTAATATTCTGGGACCAACACTGCATACTTCAAATTCTGTCAAGTGTAGAAGGGAGAATAGATGTGTGCAAGGGAATAAAATAATCCAGAGTTCTAATCTTTCATTGATGTCTGTAGCCAGTGCTACGCTGAACCATGCTACTCTTACCTAAATACACGATGATTCTTGCGTCTAAATGAAAGATTGTGCTTATCCAAAATACACACATAAAACACACCTTCTCTTTAACTACAGAGATACACTGCAACGTAGATACACATTTGGGTTTCTAAACCGACCTCCCATTAAATCCCCGAAATAAATTCTAGTATTGTGGTTTCAGGAATACCCCAATACTATGTATTTTCTGAATACCATTACGGGATAGGCTGTGCAATGCAATTGCCTTATAATGATGAAAGTCCAGGTACCAGTGATTCTAAAGGTGTTATATTTTATTTCGTTGAACGTCATACTGTTTGAAAAATATATTCCTCATAGCTTCTATCCATATGACTCATGTTGGATAAATCCTGACCATACTCTGCAGCTCCCCGGCATGCAGCTAGCCAAAGCTCCATAGCTAGCCACACTTTCCTTTCTCATGAAGCTTCCCCAAAATCAAACCAACTCTGTGTTCTTATATTTTGGCCCCACAATGTAATGACTGATAGAGCTGTCTGGAAAATGGATTTTTCATGCCACAAAAAAGATGGAGATTTCAAGATTTTATTTCATCCCAATTCAGGACAAAAAGTCATAATTGTTTAAAGCAACAGAGGGTCCTGTGGCACCTTTGAGACTAACAGAAGTATTGGGAGCATAAGCTTTCGTGGGTAAGAACCTCACTTCTTCAGATGCAATAATTGTTTGTGAACCAACATTTTCCAAAAAAATTTGTTTGGCCTCAATTCAGTGAATATTGAAAAATGTGAAGTGTTTTGTTTCAATTGTTATGTTTTTTATTATCATTCAAATATATAAAATATAATATGAAAAATCAAAATGTTCTGTTCTGAAAATGTTGAAACAGCATGTTTAGACATCTTTGAAGTGCTTGTTTCAAAACATTTTTTAAAAGTGAAAATTTTGTCAAAAAATCAACACATTCCTGTGGAATTACTCGGTTTCAACAAATCATCATTTTGCAACATAAAAATATTCCCTTGGAAAGTTTTCAACTAGCTCCAATTACTGTGCACCCCTGAATTTACAGATAAAATTCTTGATATGTCTGCAAACATTGGTACATTTCCTTAAACCCACAAAATTGTTGCAGCTTTCCCAACACTAATTTTAATGGACAATGTCTGGAAATATTTACTATACAATCGCCCCCCCCCCCCGCCCTTAAATAGGGAATCTTTTCTGCTTTATCCTTGCAACTACTTTTCTTCCCACATACAGATTTTTGTCCAGGATCTGAAAACAAAACTGAGATTTAAAACTGTAATGGAAACTGTTATTTCATATCTCTTAATACAATAATTCTTTGCATATCGATAGGATGTAAAATGAATCCTCAAACATTCACCTGAGATAAGAATTGCCACCCCTATTTTGCAAATGAGGAAGTCAGTGGCAGAGCCAATAATAAAAACGTGGGGGGTCCTAATTACCAGTCTTATTGAATAATCTCTAAATAGACATTTTAAAGTCAAATGTCAACAATGACATTTTTTATATATGTGCTGTGCAATTTCTGTATTTATCCAGCATATCTATATTATGAAGTGCACTTGCTAAGCAAACTACATGTAAGGGAATATGAATACACAATTGGATTTTTATAGCAGGAGATGAATAATACCTAGAAACCTCAAGTAGAATGAATTGGCAGTAGCAATCTGGATATGACAAATATAGAAAGATTTGTTACAGCAAGGAGAAAAAAGCAGATAGTGTGTAGTACTGGTGATGACTGTAAATACTTTTGGTACACTCTGTACTGGTCTGAAAGGAACCAAAAAACCTAAATATATCATTACAATAAATTCCAACAGGATCTCTTTCTTTGTATAGCCTTCTTTCAGTGTCTGAGACATGAACTCTCATAGATCTTATCAGAATCGTTGGTTTTTATTGTTCTCCTATTATTTATATCATTATATTATTTACATTGTCTCTGATCTCTCTGTTGCAGAATTCTCCCTCTCCGACCATCTCCTTCAACATTGCCATCAGCCCCCTCCATCGTGCCCAGTCACTTGGCCTTTCTGTGACTTCCAGGGCCCCTGTGCTAATGATTTCCTGTCTGCTTTCAGCCCTCTTCTCCCTATCCTCTCTTCAGCATTGTTGCTGACACTCTCCATTCATCACTCTGCACCACCCTTGACTCTCTTGTCCCTCTCTCCCATCTCAAGGTCAATCCTGCCAACTCCCAGCCCTGGCTCACTCCCAGCATCCGTCCGCTTCCTTTGTTCTTACTCTAGTGCTACAGAGCATCTGTGTTGGAAATCCTATGATCAGGCCAACTTCCTCTGTTACCAATTCATTCTCTGCTCTTTCAGTTCAGAACTCTAGTTCTCCAATTTAATTGAATCTCACGCCTACAATCCCAGCTGCCTTTTCACCACCTTTGACTCATTCCTTAAACCTTCCCCTCCCCATCTCCACTTCTCTCTCTGCACAGGAGATTGCTGACTTCTTCCAAGAGAAAACTGACAAAATATAATGTAATGTTCCCCCTCCCCTTAGCTCACCTTCCCCATAGAATTCTCTCCTGCTTTTCCCTTATCACAGGCACAGAAATTTGTCATCTGCTCTCCTCCTCTAAGCAATCCACTTGCCCCAGTGACCCCATCCCAGTTTCAGATCTCCCTCGTACCCACTCTCAACTCCTCTCTTACTCTTTTCCTTAACCTCTCACTCTCCTCTGGTTCTTCCCACTCACAATACAAGCATGCTCTAGTCTCTCCCATCTTAAAAAAAAAAAAAAAAAACTTGATCCCACTTGCCTCTGCAACTACAACCCCATCTCCCTTCCCTTGCTAAGCTCACTGAATGCCCTTTCTATAATTGCTGTCTCAAGTTCCTCTCCTCCAATTCTATCCCAGACCTTCTCCAATCCAGCTCCTGCCTCCGACATTCACCTGAAACCACTCTCATCGAAGTCTCTAACAACTTCTTCCAATCTAAAACTCAGAACAAGTATTCCATCTTCATCCTCCTTGACCAGTCAGCTGCCTTTGACGCAATTGAACATGCTCCTCTTCTCAAAATGTTGTCCTCCCTTGGCTTTTGTTACTCTGTCCTCTACTGTTTCTCCTTCCACCTTCATAATCATTCTTTCAGTGTGTCCTTTGGATCCTCCTCATCTATCCTCCAATTTGCTATGAGGGTTCTGACTCCTTTCTCTTCTCCTTCTACATCTTTTCTTTGGGCAATCTCATCTGCAAACAAAAATTCCGATACCGTCTCTATTCTGAGGACTCACAGATCTGCTTCTATATTTCAGATCTGTCTCCTTCTGTCCAAACTATAATCTCAGCCTGTGTCTGACATCTCCTTATGGATGTCTAGTCATCATCTCAAGAT